TTGAAAGAAAAAAAAAGATGATGACAAGTAAATCAAGTACAGTTTTAGAATTTAAGTTAAATATCATAAAGGTCCAAGTGCTAGCTTGGCCTGGCTTCTGCTTCTGCTGTTAAAAGCAAAAGTCTTGCCAAATGCTGAAAAAAATAAGTATTTTTTTAGCTAAAGCATGAGCTGTTTTTGCCTTTGATACAGATGGAATCAGAAGCTGAAAATAAATACTTTTGATAAATAGTTTGTGTTGTAGGAGACAAATAATATTTTAAATAAATAATATTTATTAACTGTATATTTCATAAGTTAATAAACAATCTAAAACAAAAATATAATATTGATACTTTATTGATAATTTTATGTGTATTATAATTATCTAAATAATATTTATTTTAAAATAATTTAGATTATTAGAATAATTTTTAGAAAAAATAATGTTATTTAAATATTTAAAATGATTAATTTTTTGTTGTTATCTATTTTTTATTATGTCAACATTCATTATTTTATATGATAATTAACTAAATATTGTACTATTTTTATGCCAAAGACACTTTCTACAACAAGTTTTATCAAAAACTATACTCTTTTTCAGGCTATTTTTAGGTACTTTTTTGGCTCACAGTTCAATCCGCAGCTGCTTCAAATGGATCCTAAGTAAATTAATAGAATAACAAAATAGTTTATAAGCAAATCCAACATATCATTTTCTTATCACAGGCTTTATTGTACTGGCTAATTGATAAAATATTTGAAAGAAAAATAAAACGATGACAAGCAAGTTAAGTAAAAGTTTGGCATTTAAGATAATGGCATAAATGTCTAAGCCTACTAGATATCGTGACCAAAAAATAATTTTTAAGCCAACAAAACCTCTTTTCCTTGTCGCTCGTCACAGTCATACCTAACAGCCGCCGTTCTTTTTCTCTCCAACAGCAAAGAAATTTTCTCTGTGCTCCGACAACTTTACTCACCGGTAAAAGGTGAAAAAAAATCTACCTCTCTTTGTTGGAAGATTTGGCTTCCATTGAACCAGATAAGATAGTGCTTCTGCACTTGGCACTTCTAACTACTGAAGATTTCTTTTTGGTAGGATATAAAGGTTTTCTCTTCAATTTCGTTATGTTGTATGTTTGTCTTCAGTTTTTCTGTTTAAATTTTATATCATTTATCCATCTTGATTTGGGTTGACGGGGTTAGGGTTATCGAATTTTTTCATTCATCGACTTCCCCCCTATTTTTATGATAGATTTTATCTTATGTTTCCTAATATTGCTATCATAATTTTATATTCTATCTTGTCTATTGCTCTGGTAGAATTTTATTTTGTTGCTTACTAGTGGGCTTTACAAGTTACAGCAGTGACAAATTAACTTGTTATACTGGGAGTTGTGAATTGCTTTGATATTCTCTTACAAAATGTTCTAGATCCTCCCTTGCCTAATTAATGAGTGGAAGCATACAAGTAAGAGTTTTTTGTAGTATATAAGAACCAATTTCATGGGTTTGATGCTCAATTATGTTGGTGGTTCATTTATAAAAGGCTTCTTTTCAATAAAATTGCTTTTGCTCCGGAATGGATTGGAATCTGAACTATTGATTTCTAATCACCAATTTCTTTTCAGAAGCTTCTTTGCCAAATAATGAATGTCCTTTTTGTTATGAGAGATGCCATTGAATTTTGTCAAGCTTTATTGCACTCAGAGCTTCTTTGTTTAGCAGTCTCTGTTACATTTTTTTGTTGAGACAAATGGTGAGAAGAATGTCATATAAAAAGTAATTACTAGGGCTATATCTGCAACAAAAGAACTTCATTTGTGGAACTCATTTGGTAATCCAAATTTTTTTACTAAATAATAGTCAATCGTAGATTTACATGATAAAAATTGACATCCTAGAGAATTTTAGGTGAAGAATTCATAGAATTTAGAATTCATTGTTTTAAAAATATTTGGAATTTCCTTGGAGGTCAACTTTTAACATCTTCAATAATATTTTCATCATTTTGTTGTCGAACTCAGATTTTCAAATAAATTCCAGGAATAATTCTTTTGTGCCAAATACAGTCTGAGTCTGTTATATTCTTCTTAGTGAAGAGTTTTCTTAATCCTGTCCTTATAACATCCTGCTTAAGAAATGACACAGAATTGAGAATCAACTTACTAGGGAGATTATGTGAAAATGGAAGGGCTAGGAGTAAATCTCTAAAGAAGGATATTGCAGCTATCATGAATATGGAAGCGATTTTGTGGAGACAAAAAGTTAGGGAGAAATGGTTAAAAGAAGGGGATATGAATACAAAATTTTTTCGGCGATTTTGTGGAGACAAAAAGTTAGAGAGAAATGGTTAAAAGAAGGGAATAGGAATACAAAATTTTTTCGTAGTATGGCTAATTTCAGAAGAAAAAATAATCATGTGGAAGAGCTCTATTTTAATGGGGAGGCTGTCAAGGGGAATGAAGCAATGAGGCAGAGATCAAAGCTGTTTTTCCAGCAACTGTACAAAGATGAAGATGGCAGAAGGCTGATGACCGTGTGTATTGAGATTTTGTAAACTATATATTGGAGA